ATCACCTACGAGGAATTGCATCGCCAAGTGAAGGCGTTCGCCGCCGCCCTCCGCGCCCGTGGCGTCCGCAAAGGAGACACGGTCGCCATCTACCTCCCCATGATCCTCGAGTTGCCTGTGGCGATGCTGGCATGCGCCCGGATCGACGCCCCTCATACCGTCGTCTTTGCCGGGTTCTCGTCCGAGTCCCTGGCCGAGCGTATGATCCAGGCCCGGACTCATGTCATCATCACGGCCGACGCCTTCGGAAGGGGCGGAGCCAAGGTGGTACCCCTGAAGAATATGGCCGATGTGGCGGTGAATATGTGCCGCAAACGAGGGCTGGACGTCCATACTCAGGTAAGAGATCGAGTTTGATTTTTTTTTTTGATTTTTTAGACATAAAATTTGGAATTTAAAAAAATAATAAAAGATACAGCGCGGGGCTTGATCCAGTGGCAAAAAACGTGCCATTTTGCATCCGGGAAGCATCAAAAATGTGGCAAAATGCCTCCCTTTCCAAATGAAAAAAAACTTCGGTTTGACGGGCGCACCTTTTCCCTCACAAAAAGAGCGGGAGCACTTTTGAAATCGAAGTTTTTTCACTTGGAGAGGGAGGTATTTTGCCACATTTTTTGATGCTTCCCGGATGCAAAATGTTACGTTTTTTGCCACTGGATCAGGTCCCCACAGTAAATCAACTCATATAAGAGTGCAATATTGTGTTTGCAGGTGGTTGTGGAGCACATCCACCGAGTCAAAACGCCCGGCAACCAGCCCGCCCCCAAGGTCGACTACCACCCCATCGACCTGAAATACGCCCAACTCCTCGCCCAATACGAGGACGCCGACTCGCCGGTGGAGTGGGTGGACGCCGAGGACCCTCTCTTCATCCTGTACACCTCCGGCTCCACCGGCACCCCCAAGGGAATCGTCCACAGCACCGCCGGCTACATGACCTACGCCTACGCGACCACCAAATTCGACTTCGACGCCCAGCAAGACGACGTGTACTGGTGCACCGCGGACGGCGGATGGATCACCGGACACACCTACCTGGTCTACGGCCCGCTGCTGAACGGGCTGACCTCCATCTTCTTCGAGGGAATCCCCACTTATCCAACGGCCGCCAGAACTTGGCAGGTCGTCGAAAAGTATAAGGTAAGGGGTTTGTTTTGTATGGAATTGAAGATTTAGGGGCTAGAAGGTTTAATTAAGCCATTTTTCGCTGGAAGTTTTGCGACTGACTCTCGGTTTTGATGATATTTTTGTAATTTTCTTGCCTAGTGCAATATAATTTTTTGACCGGAAAGAGGTAAAAAATGAACTCTAGCATGTTCTGAGGGGAATTGGAAGTCTGTACAAGACATGATTTTGTGATTGTACTTGATTTTTTTGGCAAATTTTGGGGTTTCTTGTCTAGTGTAATATAATTTTTTGACCGAAAACTGGTGAAAATTGAAGTTTCTGTGACTTTCAGATAGTGTTGAAAGCAATGATGATATTTGTTTTTTTAAATAACACTTTGTTTTTGAACCTTTTTATACCTTCTTTGCCTAGTAAAATATAAATTTTTCAGGTGACGAAGCTATACACCTCCCCAACCTTAGTCCGCTCGCTGATGGGTTTCCCTGACAACATGGTAAAGGACCACGATCGTCGTTCCTTGAAGATAATCGGCACCGTCGGCGAGCCCATCAACCCGCAGGCCTGGCTCTGGCTCTACGAGTTTGTGGGCGAGCGGCGTTGCGCCATCATCGACACGTACTGGCAGACCGAGACCGGGGGGCACGTGATCACCGCGATCCCGGGCGCCGTCCCCACCAAGCCCGGCTCCGCGACCCTGCCTTTCTTCGGCGTCCAACCGGTCTTATTGGACAATGATGGGTGCATTATTGAGGGCCCCGGGGAGGGAAACTTGGTAAGGAAGGGGGTAATATTATGGGCGATAGGCATGAAGGGTGGGGTAGAATTGAAAGAAGGGTAAAATATGGGGATTTGAAATGGTCCTGGACATTGGTTTAGGCTGGGGGTGGGATCAAAAAAAGATTGTTGAATTTGGAAAATGTGGAGGGGGTTTTGAAGAAAAAAATGGTGTAGAGTGAAGAAAAAGAGGCTGGGAAGAAAGGAGAATAGAAATTAGTTTAAAATACGGTAATGCGAGACAACTTGGGACCTTGTTTTAGAGGTCCGATGGACGATTTTAAAAAAATTTTGGAATTTAAAAATTGTGTGGAGGGTTTTTAAAAAAATGTTAGGTTTTATGATGTTAATGAGGCGACTGGAGAATTCCAGTAGAAATCAGGGTAAAATACGATTTTTTTGATATTGTTTATAGTCTTTTTGGACTTGGTTGATGATGACACTGTTGGTCTTCAAATTCTAAAACATCTAACCCCAAAACTTTCAGTGTTTCCCCGCCGCATGGCCCGGCATCTCGCGCACCGTGCTCGGCGACCACGAGCGCTTCGAGAAGACCTACTTCAAGCCGTTCCCCGGCTATTACTTCACCGGCGACGGGTGCCGCCGCGACTCGGACGGCTATTATTGGATCACGGGCCGCGTGGACGACCTCATGAACGTGTCGGGGCATTTGCTGTCCACCGCCGAGATCGAGAGCGCCATCACCGCCCACCCGGACGTGGTGGAGTGCGCGGTGGTGGCGGCCGAACACCCGGTCAAGGGGCATTCCCCATACGCCTTTGTCATCATGAGAAAAGTGAGGATTTGGAAGGGGATTGGGGGGAAATCGAGGGAGGAATTGGTTTTTATGGGTGTTTTAGGGGCTGGGGTTTATTTTACGGGGGCGATTTTGGGTATGGCAAGGGGGGATTGTGGAGAAAATTGAGTGGAAAAAGTTAGTGGAAGGTTTTTTGGAAAAGAAAAAAGAAGAGGTCGATGAGGTGAAATTATAATAAAAAATCGGTATTTTAGGATGTGAAATGGTGGTATCTTCCAGAAAATTTTATTTTTGATTTTATTTTCACATTTTAATTTTTAAATTTTTTGAAAAAAGTTTAAATTGGACTTGTTTTCAGGACCGAAAACTCACCGAATCCACGGTGAACGAGCTGAAGGCGGTGGTGCGCGAGAAGATCGGGCCCATCGCGGTGCCGGACAAGATCCAACTCACTCCCGGACTGCCCAAAACTCGCTCCGGCAAGGTGACGCGACGCATTTTGAGGAAGATTGCGGAAGGCGACGCCAACGCCGACCTCGGCGACATGTCCACTCTGGTCGACAGCACCGTCATCGACGACCTCTGGAGAGGCCGTAAAGTCCCTGTGCGTACCGGCTAAGCTCGAGTTGTGTGCACAGTGCAACGCGCAATTTGTGTCATTTCAAATTGATGACTTAACTTGCAACTTATGAGGTGTCATCATGACGGATTTTTTGGAATTTTTTAAGAGGGTCGTCGGAAATGGGCCGAAACTTTGTTTATAGGTCCTCTGCGGCCTATAGAATAATTTGCATATCAACCCAGTAATTTATTTTGTGGATTAAAGATGTCATCATGACGGATTTTTTGGAATTTTAAAGAAAAGTTGGCGGAAAGTGGCCAAAACTCCTTTATTGGTCCTGTATGGTCTATAGAATCATTTGCATGGCCACCCAGTACAATTATTTTGTTGATTGAAGATGTCACCATAACAGATTTTCTGGAAATGGCTGAAATATGAGCTGTAACAATTTCAAAGGTCTTATAAATGTCGCATGTGGCCTCCAATTGTCATTGTCAATAAATCTACTGACCCATCTTGGAAATTAAAAGGTGTCATCATGACGGATTTTTTAGAATTTTAAAAAATTCGGCAGAAATTGACCGAAACTCCTTTGACATGCCCTATGCGGCCAATAAAATGTTTTACGAATTGATTCAATAAATTACTTTATTAATTAAAGATGTCATCATGACGGATTTTTTGGAATTTCACCCTAAAAAATGATGACTTTTAATTTTTGATTCGATACCATTCCCTTATCAGACGCGCCCCAAAAACAAGCCATTGTGCACTTTGGAGCGGGAAGAATGCGGTGACGTGGGCCAAGTTTGTCCCAGGAGGGTCGAAAAGTCGGTGGGAACGCGTGGTTTAGGAATTCCGTCCAAAAATCGATGTTTTCTTGGGACAACAAAGCCCAAAAAAGTTGGGAGAACGGGCCGGAAAAGGGCTGATCTGGCGTACGAAGGTGTTCGGAGATTATTATGTATTACTATAACTTATGGAAACCAATATTTGGAGGGCTTTTTGGGGAGATTTTTATATTACAGTGAGGGACCTGATCCAATGGCAAAAAACGTGTCATTTTGCATCCTGGAAGGGACCAAAATGACTCCAAATTCTTCCCTTCTCTAAGCTAAAAAACTCCGCTTTGAAAAGCGCGCTCTTTCCTTCAAGGCGAGCTCTTCAAAGTGGGGTTTTTTAGCTTAGAGAAGGGAAGGGTTTGGAGACATTTTGGTCCCTTCCAGGATGCAAAATGAGACGTTTTTTGCCACTAGATCCGGTCCCTGGCTGTACGTATACATGACTAAATCTTTGCTCAAACTCATGCCATGACCTATAGGATTGTTAAATCGTCAACTTGACTCGTCGGTCACGTTGTCAAATTGCCGTCATTTTCGTCGAGTCAAATTTTTCGGTCATTTTGACTGTCAAATTGAACTTTTTTGGAAAATTTTAGTAGACTCCCTAACACAACACGGAGGCCTTGCAAAATTCCGCTAGAAAAACAGAAATGGAGTCATTTTTGCATCGCGAATCAACAGAATTTGATGCAATTCAACGATGAGCTTCAATTAATTCGGCTAAAATAACCAATTTCTTTCCATACTTTCCAAAAAAATAAATAAAAAAAAACCAAAAAAAAATCCTCAAAATTCTCCAAATTTATTGTTTTCGCAATGTGGTTAAACCGTTGCAGAATGGGGGTATGGAATGGGAACTAGACAATGGTGAGTAATTAAAGTGATTTCAGGATGCACAGGAGACAATATAGTGAGACGTTTGGGGGGGTTTCCTGGGTTATTTCTACAAAAATGAATAAAAAAATCGGTTAAAAATCTAACAAAATAACAAACTAAATGTGAATTACAAGTTTTTCTTCTTTGCTGAGACAATTTCAGAGGGGTTATACAATTTGGATTGCTATGAAATTGAAAAAAATTTTACAAAAAACAACAAATTTTCGTCTAAAATAAGGTCCAAAAAAATGGTGAAAACTCCAAAAAATTACTGGAAAATATCCGTAAATACTGTGAAAAATTCAGTGAATTTCTTTTTTTACATCCTCAAGACCTAATTCAAATTGAAAAAAACTAAGAAAAATACAAAAAATTTAAAAAATTTTTAAAAAAATAAGAAAAATCTGCAAAATTTTGGGGGAAAATCAGGGGAATCCGTCTCAAATTGAAAGTTGGAAAATCTGTGCCCACAACTCGAGCTTAGCCGGTACGCACAGGGACTTTGCGGCCTCTCCAGAGGTCGTCGATGACGGTGCTTTCGACCAGAGTGGACATGTCGCCGAGGTCGGCGTTGGCGTCGCCTTCCGCAATCTTCCTCAAAATGCGTCGCGTCACCTTGCCGGAGCGAGTTTTGGGCAGTCCGGGAGTGAGTTGGATCTTGTCCGGCACCGCGATGGGCCCGATCTTCTCGCGCACCACCGCCTTCAGCTCGTTCACCGTGGATTCGGTGAGTTTTCGGTCCTGAAAACAAGTCCAATTTAAACTTTTTTCCAAAAATTTTAAAAATTAAAGAGTGAAAATAAAATTAAAAATAAAATTTTCTGGAAGATACCACCATTTCACATCCTAAATCACCGATTTTTATTAGAATTTTACCTCAGTGACCTCTTCTTTTTTCTTTTCCAAAAACCTTCCACCAACTTTTCCCACTCAATTTTCTCCACAATCCCCCCTTGCCATACCCAAAATCGCCCCCGTAAAATAAACCCCAGCCCCTAAAACACCCATAAAAACCAATTCCTCCCTCGATTTCCCCCCAATCCCCTTCCAAATCCTCACTTTTCTCATGATGACAAAGGCGTATGGGGAATGCCCCTTGACCGGGTGTTCGGCCGCCACCACCGCGCACTCCACCACGTCCGGGTGGGCGGTGATGGCGCTCTCGATCTCGGCGGTGGACAGCAAATGCCCCGACACGTTCATGAGGTCGTCCACGCGGCCCGTGATCCAATAATAGCCGTCCGAGTCGCGGCGGCACCCGTCGCCGGTGAAGTAATAGCCGGGGAACGGCTTGAAGTAGGTCTTCTCGAAGCGCTCGTGGTCGCCGAGCACGGTGCGCGAGATGCCGGGCCATGCGGCGGGGAAACACTGAAAATTTTGGGGTTAAGGTTTTAGAATTTGAAGACCAACTTGATCATCATCAACCAAGTCCAAAAGGACTATAAACAATATCAGAAAAAACCCGTATTTTACCCTGATTTCTACTGGAATTCCCTAGTCGCCTCATTAACATCCTAAAATCCAACTTTTTTTAAAAACCCTCCAGACAATTTTTAAATTCCAAATTTTTTTTAAAATCGTCCATCTGACCTCTAAAACAAGGTCCCAAGTTGTCTCGCATTACCGTATTTTAAACCAATTTCTATTCTCCTTTCTTCCCAGCCTCTTTTTCTTCACTCTACACCATTTTTTTCTTCAAAACCCCCTCCACATTTTCCAAATTCAACAATCTTTTTTTGATCCCACCCCCAGCCTAAACCAATGTCCAGGACCATTTCAAATCCACATATTTTACCCTTCTTTCAATTCTACCCCACCCTTCATGCCTATCGCCCATAATATTACCCCCTTCCTTACCAAGTTTCCCTCCCCGGGGCCCTCAATAATGCACCCATCATTGTCCAATAAGACCGGTTGGACGCCGAAGAAAGGCAGGGTCGCGGAGCCGGGCTTGGTGGGGACGGCGCCCGGGATCGCGGTGATCACGTGCCCCCCGGTCTCGGTCTGCCAGTACGTGTCGATGATGGCGCAACGCCGCTCGCCCACAAACTCGTAGAGCCAGAGCCAGGCCTGCGGGTTGATGGGCTCGCCGACGGTGCCGATTATCTTCAAGGAGCGCCGATCGTGGTCTTTTACCATGTTGTCAGGGAAACCCATCAGGGAGCGGACAGCAGTGGGGGAGGTGTAGAGTTTGGTCACCTGAAAAATTATATTGTACTAGGCGGTATAAAAAACCCTCAAAAACAGTGTTCTTCAAAAAACAAATATTACCACTGCTTTCAACAATATCTGAAAGTCACAGAAACTTCAATTTTCACCAGTTTTCGGTCAAAAAATTATATTACACTAGGCAAAAAATCTCAAAATTTGTCAAAAAATCAAGCACAATCACTAAATCATGTCTTGTACAGACTTCAAATTACCCTCAAAACTGCCTAGACTTAATTTTTCACCACTTTCCGGTCAAAAAATTATATTGCACTAGGCAAGAAAATTACAAAAATATCATCAAAACCGAGAGCCAAACAAAAAACTTCAAGCGAAAATGGCTTAGTTAGTTCTTCTAGCGCCTAAATCTTCAATTCCATACAAAACAAACCCCTTACCTTATACTTTTCGACGACCTGCCAAGTTCTGGCGGCCGTTGGATAAGTGGGGATTCCCTCGAAGAAGATGGAGGTCAGCCCGTTCAGCAGCGGACCGTAGACCAGGTAGGTGTGTCCGGTGATCCATCCGCCGTCCGCGGTGCACCAGTACACGTCGTCTTGCTGGGCGTCGAAGTCGAATTTGGTGGTCGCGTAGGCGTAGGTCATGTAGCCGGCGGTGCTGTGGACGATTCCCTTGGGGGTGCCGGTGGAGCCGGAGGTGTACAGGATGAAGAGGGGCTCCTCGGCGTCCACCCACTCCACCGGCGAGTCGGCGTCCTCGTATTGGGCGAGGAGTTGGGCGTATTTCAGGTCGATGGGGTGGTAGTCGACCTTGGGGGCGGGCTGGTTGCCGGGCGTTTTGACTCGGTGGATGTGCTCCACAACCACCTGCAAACATAATATTAGGCTTTCATATGAGTTTATTTACAGTGGGGGGACCTGATCCAGGGGCAAAAACAAACCATTTTGCATCCGGGAAGCATCAAAAATGTGGCAAAATACCTCCCTCTCCAAGTGAAAAAACTCCAATTTTAAAAAGCCCGCCTGGTTCTTTTATGTGATCGCCCTTCAAAACGGTGTTTTTTACTTGGAGAGGGAGGGATTTTGCCACATTTTTGATGCTTCCCGCATGCAAAACGGTACGTTTTTTGCCACTGGATCAACACTGTATCTTTTATTATTCTTTTTAAATTCCAAATTTTTTGTCTAAAAAATCAAAAAAAAAATCAAAATCGATCTCTTACCTGAGTATGGACGTCCAGCCCTCGTTTGCGGCACATACTCACCGCCACATCGGCCATATTCTTGAGGGGTACCACCTTGGCTCCGCCCCTTCCGAAGGCGTCGGCCGTGATGATGACATGAGTCCGGGCTTGGATCATTCGCTCGGCCAGGGACTCGGACGAGAACCCGGCAAAGACGACGGTATGAGGGGCGCCGATCCGGGCGCATGCCAGCATCGCCACAGGCAACTCGAGGATCATGGGGAGGTAGATGGCGACCGTGTCTCCTTTGCGGACGCCACGGGCGCGGAGGGCGACGGCGAACGCCTTCACTTGGCGATGCAATTCCTCGTAGGTGATGTGGGTCTGATCGGAGGGCTCATTTCCTAAACATTGAAAAAAAATAATCCAAAAATTATATTATCAATGGCAAAAAAAATTTTAAAAAAATGGCGATAGCCTCTTACCTTCCCATCGATAGGCAATCTTCTGGCCTCTTCCGGACTGAATGATCCGTTCCAGGCAATTGTAGGCCAAATTGGTCTTGGAGCCGGCCAAAAACTTGGTGTAAATGGGGCCTTTTCGGATGTCAAAGTTGAACTCCAGGCCGTTTCCGGAGAACTCCTCAAAGTGCAATTCACGCGCAATGCCCAGCCAAAAGTCTTGGTCGCGAACCGAGCGGTCGTAGAGCTTCAGATAGCCGGGCAAATCCTTCACATGAGCGCCAGCACTTAGTGGGTCGGGTGGCGCGTAGGTCATCACAGTCGGGTCATTCTCATTCAGATTGAACGTACACTTGTTGTCGGACATTTCGACGAGTTGAGAAGGTTCTGAAACGAATTTGGAGGTTACTTTCGGGAAAATTTATATTGTACTAGAGACCTCGACAAAAAACGGTCGAAAAATCGCGGAAAATCAAACTCAAATAAAACAAAACCTTTGTAAAACAAACTATCAGGGTCTTGGGAAAATTTTGAGACCAAAATGGGCTCCTATATTACTATCGCTTTTCTGCAAAAATAATTTTTTTTGCCTGTTGGTGTCCTGCAAAATTTGCTGGATTTTAAGATCAACAACAATATTGACGGATCATGAGGACCCAGGAGCACCTGCACGGCGAGCTGCGGTAAACAACAGCCTACTTTTCTTCGAGCAATTTTTCGCAAATCAGTTATTTTTGGGTCGAATTGCTCGAGGCCAAGTGCCCGATTTTTTCTCGCAAAAAACAAATGTTTTTTGGGTTCGAACTCTTTGTGGCAGGTTATAAATAGTAGGAACAGGTTGTGGAAAGGCTAAAAATATCGAAATAATATCAGAAATCGGTTTTTCCGAGAGCCGTGAGCTCGATTTCAACAGAGGTGTGTTGAGGACCTAAATCAACATGAATTACTGTATTTTTGGCGAAACTACTGGTTGAAATTGTTTGAGAAAGCATCTACAAGGAGTAAAGAGTATTTCAAGCGAAGAATCCAACAGTTCCTCCGCCAAAAACAACGAAAATTCATCACATTCCGATATTACACTAGGGAGTTCTGAAAAACCCCGAAAAAAATGCGCTATAGCACGAAAAAGTCCGGCCGAACCTCACTAAATCAAAGAACGCCCTTTACCAAACATCAATCTAAATGAAACTTGCCTTTACGTGAAATTCTTTTCGAGCCAAAACCCCACCGACCGTCTAGAATAATGTGCAGCTAAGAAATGAGGGAAAAACGAGTTGACTGAACTAATTTGGGCAATTACGAGGCCTCGCGAGGTGAAAGGGACAAGTGAAATCGGATTTTATCCAAAAATCTCAAATTTACAGCAAAAATTATATTACACTTGACATGGATAATATCCGAGACGTCCAAAAAACAAGGTCAATGAGGGGAAATGCGGTCCGAAAGCAAGATAAAGCCTAAACTAGCTGATGTAGAGGCAAATTTCATCCAGATGTGCAAGAAATTACATGGAAATTCCACTTCTCCGAGCTCCGGACCTTGCTCATAAACTGATGTCTGAAATAACGAAAAATCGAGATTCCCGACATGCCCGTTTATTAATTTCCGCTCTTTCGGTGTTGTTGCAGCGAATACAACAAGAAATTGACCTATATTCCACTTGAAGAAAGGTTGAAACGTTCAAAACATATTTTCCACCCAAAAAAGGCGGATTTTCGCGGGAAAATCGCGATTTTTCCCTAAATTTGGTACGTTACAGCAAGAAGTTGATGCTAAATTTGCAGAGCAACTCGTAACAGCTTCTATGGAGCAAGTTTAAAGCAGTTGCGACAGCGGAAACGCCGAAAATTGCGTTGAAAAATTCTTCGAAAGAAAATTTTTCGAGGATTTTTGGGGGAAAATCAATTTTTTGGCAAAATGCCAAAAATTACAGTATGAAATTGGACTTCATATTGAAGGAGAACTTAGAAGGCAACTATGGCTTCGTTTCGAAGCCATTTTGGCCGAAGAAAATCCCGGAATCCGGGCGGAATTGGGCGCGGAACGCCGGGAACGGGGCGAGAAAAAAGCGAAAACTGGGGAAATCTTTTGGCCGGGGCGCTGCCAAACGCCAACAGGCCCTTGAAAAGCCCCCAACGCAGCCGGCTGAATGTGCTTTTTTCTCTCCCAACAGCCGCAAGCGAAAACTGAGAGCGTCGGCGCTTTTTCGCTCCCACTTTTATATACACCATGAGCGGGGCGGAGTCGGGGGACGTGCGCTGCCCCCCGGGCAAGGTGAGAGAGAATGGGGGCAGATTTCGAGAATACGAAAGACGAATCTCATTAGGGCTTTTTTCAACGAACCGAAAGTCGGGCAGTAGCGAGCAGGCGAAGAGGGGGACGGAAATGAGGTTATGGTAATAAAAAACAAGCTGGAAATGCCAAGTGCGTGTGTTTTTGTGGCCAACAGGTTTCTAGGTAGTTTTTAGGGAAGAAGAAGTCAAGTTAAACTGGTTTCTTGGCTCAGTTCAGCTTATATTGCACAAAATTACATAAATCATCGTAATTGGGCAGATGTCTAAAATAAGGTCGGAACTTGCGGGTTTCCAAAGTATTTTGTTATTTTGACAATTCATAATGTAAAACAGATGTAACCCTGCCAATTTTCGTCAAAAATAAATTCAAAAACCTTCAATCCGATAGCAAATTACCAAAATTCCATAAGTGGCATATCGGATGTCTAAAATAAGGTCATAATTTTCATCTCAAAGCAATTCATCCTGTTTTTTTTATCTACAAGTATTACCAAATAGTTGTAGTCCTCCCAGGATTACCTCCTTGAAGAATCTACCGTATAGTCATCAATTTTTTTCCCGCGGCTCGCGCCCGACTTATCCCAAAAAAACGTAGGCTAAACCCGATAAAAGTCGGATTGGGGTTCCAGACGCCATAACAAAGTTTTCGGCATGTTATCTGGGAATTTCCGATGCTTCCGGATACACAAAGACAACAAAAGAAAAGAAAAAAACGAGCCCATGGGGAATGTCATCATAAATCCCGTTTGTGATGACATAACGGGGCCATAGAACCTACTGCGCGGTATTTATTATAGCTTAAGACGTCACGAGGAGAAATAAACCTTGCGCTGCTTTTTGAGTCATCAGAACTTTGCGTTACATCTGTTTTTTCTCATGATGATCTTATACATGTACTAATGTTTAAAACATGACAAATTACTATTCAAGCAGCTAAAAAATTTTTAGACACTGCATTTTCCTAAAGTCTCAATGCTAGTCTAAGTAATTTAGCCCAAGCCTGAAGTGGTTTGGTTACTGTAATACCGAGTTATCCCTCGAAACATGTTTCATCGTATAACATGGTAAATTATCGCCGACGAAGCGCCAGCTTCAAAAAATCAGCCTGTTTTGTCTTTATTAGATTCTATGGGTTGGATAAAGCCCGATTAACTGCATTTAACTCCTACAATTCCGAGGATTTTGCATATTTTATCCATCAGCCATCATGAATAATATAAATTTTGGAGGTTGCTGACACGGATGACCATGAATTTGAACTGTTATTGTAAATTCATAGTCTCCGATAAGTCTAAGATATTTTGAGCCCCTTTTCGCTTTATGTAAACCTCAATTTCTGATAAAAACTTTCCATTTCCTAGACTAAACCCTTCCCCATTCCCAGCCCCGGAGAGTCGCTGAAAAGAAAACAAACCCGAATAATGAGAAGGGAGTCAAAGAACCGCGCCTTAAATAGCAGCCCGACCTTGTTGTTGCGAGTACTTTGCTCGCGGCGGTTTGAGTTGTTATCAGCGCGATCACGTTGATGGGAAGGGGGGCGGGGAACTGAGTGTGTTCTGAGGATCGGAAGAGGTCATTCCTCGGAGGCTTTGAGGTTTTTTTGGAGGGGTGGGGTATAAATATAAATTTTAAAATATTTTTTTTAAAAATATTTTAAAATTTTTTTATAAAAAATTTATAAATAATTTAATTTGTGGATAATGCAAGGGGGGGGGGTTACTGGATGATGAAAACAAAGTATGGAAAAGTGTAAGCGGGGAAGGTAAGGGCAGGGCAGGATAATGAAAAAGGGGCAGTTGTCGCCTGGATTTTGATGAGAATTGGCACAATTTAGGCTACTATTGGCACAATTTAGGCTACTGTGGAAGGATTTTAAGATCGCGTTTTGCAGAAACCACAGGGATTTTGCAGCTGAAAAATGTCAAAAATTTACGTCCGATATCCCAATGATGCCGGCAAAAAAGCGTGAACTTTTAAGTTTATTCTCCGATATGTGTGGCCTATCGGAAAATATGGAGCACTCTGCCGCATCAAAAATCGCATCGCCGCCGAGAAAATGAATTGGGCCGCGACAAAGTCAAATTGCTTTTCACATCAACGCCACACTTGGCGCAGCGACAGAATGCTCATTATTTTCCCGACAGAATAATACAGACTTGTAACAAACAACCCAAGAAAATGGGAGGTTTTGAGACTTGTAAGACGCTCATTATTTCCCCGACAGACTGATAAATCAGCACATTTTAAAGCCTTTTCTTTCCCATCCAACACTTACCGACATCTCCAGGGCGTCCTGGACTTCCTGGCTGACCGTTGGGTCGCTCACTATTTTCCCGACAGAATGACGTTTTTGCACACACGTCGGTCATGAACTAGTTATCAATTTCTGAAGGTTTCAGCTCGCGCTGTGCAAGTGCAGCCGAGATATTCAACGACCTCTGCAGCCGGCAGAGCAGGCGAGATGCAGAGAAAGGGCAGAGAAAAACACGTATTCCCCTTTGACCTCTGCTACACATCATTTCTATTGTTGTCGTTCGCAGACAAAGTAAACAGAACCTTAAAAAAAGTAAAACTGTTTTTTTTTAAAGCACACTGTCACTGTTTATCACACTAGATCATCTCGTAACACCCTCGAAAATCGTTTTCTGGTCGCGCTGTTCTTTTGGTGTTACTTTTGTTTAAACGGCTTTTTAAAGAACCTTATTTACCACCACCATGTCATGCGCTGCCCATAAATGAACGGGTTGTGACTTTGAAAAATACAGTAAAAACTTATGACCAAAAAAATTTGTAATTGGTTGAGATTTGAGGTGTTGCTGATTAAAAGTCAAGTGAATTAGGGAGTTTTATTGTATATTAGCAGTCTGTCGGGAAAATAATGAGCACTGTTTTCCCGACAGACAAACTATCAGCTAGCTACATGCGAAACGTTGGCTTGGTCCCCGCTTTGAATTTAATTTTTTTCGCCAGCCCCTCGAGGTAGCCTTTTTGTACTTTGACCATCATTTAGCACACTTCGAAAAACTGTTCCCTTCATTTCTTCGATTTTATTAATAATATCAGTCTGTCTGGA